GGCTGGATGGCCTGGCCAGCTGACTCGGAGTCCGGCTGGATAGTATGGCCAGCTGATGCGGCCCCCGGCTGGATGGCCTGGCCAGCTGATTCGGCGCCCGGCTGGATAGTCTGGCCAGTTGATTCGGCGCCCGGCTGGATAGTCTGGCTAGCTGATCCGACTCCCGGCGGAGTGGTCTGGCCAGCTGATCGGCTGCCAACTGTGTGGCCGGGCCAGCTAATTGGCTCACTGCTCGTCTCTGGCCGGACTGAGCCCGGCGGCGAGTCTCGCCGCACTGGCCTCTCGGCTCTGTGGTCTTCTCGGCTATGGTGTTGGTTCTTCCTGTCGTGTATGCTGCAGCAGGCGGCGTCTGCCTCTCTTCACGTCTGTCCACAGCCTCTCCCGTCTGCCTCCGATCCGTCTGCCTCCAGCCGTCTGCCTTCCAGCCGTCTGCCTCCGCCGCCGCCGCCGCCGCCGCCGCCGCCGCCGTCACCAGTCGTGTCCTGCCAGACCTGATGCATGCTTATGCCATACGAAAGGAGTTTCCACCCATCACCTCTTCCATGCCGTCATCTGCTGCGTTAGTGTTGTACGCGGCTGTGACGTGCTGAGGTAAATGACAGCCAGTTTGCCCATCCAGCTGCCGCAACGCTGCTCACCACTTTTGTGTGCAGCTGGCCCGTTCAAGGGGCCCACCACGCTTCATCTGCTCCCCATTCTCAACTTGTCGCTGCTGACGTTCTCGGAAAGAGTCTGTCGTCTCAGTGACTGTTGCCTTCGCTGCAGAGCCCGTCGCATTACATTCAACTCGCTCTAAATGTATTCGGCTATATCCTAGTAGGGTCTAATTCAGAACGTGTTTTCTGCGTTTCGGTGCCGAAGGAGAGCCGTGCCAGTTTGCCACCTGATAGTATATGTCAGAAGTCTAACTTCTGGTGACCCTGGTGATGCCGCGTCTTGCGCCGATGGGGGAGGTCCTCGCGCCGGGACATGCCCGTGTTATGGAGTCGCCAGACCGTAGCCCGCCCATGCGGCGCGCGTGTCGTGTTTCTGGACGGCGTGTTCAGAGGCTGCGGAGTGAGTGCGATGCAACCGACGCAATGCCGATTTCTGGCCGCCGTTGACAAGGTCGCGGTCACCAACCGTCCATGCCGGGGTGCGGTCGCCAACCGTCCATGCCGGGGTGCGGTCGCCAACCGTCCATGCCGGGGTGCGGTCACCAACCGTCCATGCAGGGGTGCGGTCGCCAACCGTCCATGCCGGGGTGCGGCCGCCAACCGTCCATGCCGGGGTGCGGTCAGCACACCGTCCATGCCGGGGTGCGGTCAGCACACCGTCTCTCCAGCTGTGTTGTAGTTGGCACCGGCACCAGGCTCGCTTATCGCCAGCTGTGATGGTGCAGATGGGCGGGGCGGCTGCCGGTCGGTCGCTGGCGCTCACCGGCCGCCAGGCCGGGTAGGCCCACCTGACGGCGGCCGCGCGGCGCCGCTCGCAGCAGCCGCGCCGCACTCGCCGCTGATCGGCCCGATCAATGGGGCCGCTGCAGCTGGCCGCCGCCATCCGGTCTCGTTTGAGGACAAAGTTCCGGCGGCCGCAGCGTTTGCCGAGCGCCCGGTCAATATTGGACGGCGTCGGCACGTGGATTTACTGCCGCCGTGTGGGATCGATCTGTGCCGTCGCGGCAACACAGACCACGCTCTTGGCCGGCCTCCTTCCCCTGCCCCCGACTGCAGTCGGCCTACCGAGACTGCAGTCGGCCCCCGCCCGGCCGCCGGCTGCCTCACTCGCTCCGCGCGCGCGTCGGGCCCAGTCGCTGTCACCCAGTGTGCATGCTGACCTGCGAACTCCCTTGGAGTGGTGTCCGTGTCGCTGAGGAGAAGGCGGCTTCAGGCGAGCTCGGAACACTCGCCTAACTGCTGTCTGACGTGGTTTCTCTGCCAAGAAGGGGGGGGGGGAGGGGTACAGAACACTAGATTTAAATGAGCGCGCCATCGACAGAAATAGCGTACAACTGCACAACTCTGTGAAGTCCGGCGAAGTCGACCCATACACATCCTCGTCTGTCTCGCGCGTGCGACTCGTCGGTGTTGTCGGCCGGTGGGCGGCCCGGGGGCCGGGCGCCGTGCGTGCTCCAACCCGATAACGCCGCGTGCCGAGTGGGCAGAAGGGCGCGCACGAGGAGCCTCAACCTCTCGGCGGTGATAGGCTCCGCCGGCGCGGCGCCGAGTGGCCCTCCACGTCCGCCGAGGCGGAGCAGGGCGGGCGAGCGGGCGGCGGCGGCGGCGGCGGCGGCGGCGGCGGCGGCGGCGTGGTGCCGGCAGGGCCTCACCCTCCCGGCCGGAGCGCAGCAGCACCGTCACCAGCAGGGCGCGCCCAGGCGAGAGTGGCCGACCGGTGCCGGCGTTCCGGCGCGGCTGAGTGCAGTATGGCCCGCGCTCGATACAACCGGTCGCCGTCCAGCCCCGCGGCTGGCGGCCGGCACCGGCCAGAAGCCGCACGCCGTTCAGGAAATGACCCGGACGTGCGCGGCTATTACCCGCGGTCCGGCCGGCCGGCCGGGCCGGGCCGCTGTTGTTTCCGCTCGGTCAGATCGGGCCTGTCGGGGTCATCGGTGGACCGAGGCTCGGCCAGAAGCTCGGCCAGTCCCAGCTACCTCTGTCCCGAAGCTCGGCCAGAGTCTTGACCAGTCCCAGCTGCCTCTGTCCCGAGGCTGGGCCAGTCCCAGCTGTCTGCCCCCAGGCTTGGCCAGTCCCAGCTGCCCGTCCCCAGGCTTGGCCAGTCTCAGCTGCCTGTCCCGAGGCTGGGCCAGTCCCAGCTGTTCCTGTCCCGAGGCTGGGCCAGTCCCAGCTGTCCCTGTCCCCAGGCTTGGCCAGTCCCAGCTGCCTGTCCCGAGGCTGGGCCAGTCCCAGCTGTCCCTGTCCCGAGGCTGGGCCAGTCCCAGCTGTCCCTGTCCCGAGGCTGGGCCAGTCCCAGCTGTCCTTGTCCCGAGGCTGGGCCAGTCCCGGCTGTCACTGTTCCGAGGCTGGGCCAGTCCCAGCTGTCCCTGTCCCGAGGCTGGGCCAGTCCCAGCTGTCCCTGTCCCGAGGCTGGGCCAGTCCCAGCTGTCCCTGTCCCCAGGCTTGGCCTCAGCTGCCTGTCCGAGGCTGGGCCAGTCCCAGCTGTCCCTGTCCCGAGGCTGGGCCAGTCCCAGCTGTCCTTGTCCCGAGGCTAGGCCAGTCCCAGCTGTCCCTGTCCCGAGGTTGGGCCAGTCCCAGCTGTCCCTGTCCCGAGGCTGGGCCAGTCCCATATGTCTCTGTCCCGAGGCTGGGTGGCAGTTCCGCTAGCTCCGGTGCTGCTCATCCCGCCCAGTAAACAACCTCTATCCTCATCACCGCCGCCACCCACAAGCTGTCGATGCTGTGTTCCCAAGGCTGCGCTGTTGCTGAGCCTTCCGTGTGGTTCTGGACCTGCTCTGACCGGCCGCCGTCATCTGCCGCAGGTCCAGGAGCGTGACACACTCACCAGCATCGCCGCCCGCTTTGACTGCCTGCCGACGGAGGTGATGAAGGCGAACCGGCTGGGGGCCCGGCTGGTGTTCCCAGGCCAAGTGCTGGTGGTACCGTCCCGTCTGCCGGAGCCGCCCGCTGGCGATCAGCACACACGGGGTCAGTGGTGATCAACACACACTGATCGGTGGTGATCAGCAGACGCAGAGTCAGTGGTGATTAGCAGATGCGGAGTGAGTGGTGATTAGCAGACACGAGGTCAGTGGTGTTCAGCGGACGCGGGCTGAGCGGTGATTAGCAGACACGGGGGTCAGTGTTGATCAGCAGACACTGATCAGTGGTGATCAGCAGACGAAGGGTCAGTGGTGATTAGCAGACGCGGGATGAAAGGTGACCAGTAGACGCGGGGTCAGTGGTGATTAATAGACACGGGGTCAGTTACGGTCAGCAAGCGCGGGGTCATTGGTGATCGGCAGACACAGAGTCAGTGGCGATCAGCAGACGCGGGGTCAGTGATCAGCAGACACGGGGTCAGTGGTGACGAGCAGACTCAGTGTCGGCGGAGGTGACGAGACGCCGGGCGTCCGAGGTGTCGCCGCGCTGGGCCGGCGGTGCTGCAGCCTCGGCAGGGGCGGGACCAGACTAGCGGTGGCTTCGCCACGCATGGCCTGGTCAGCAGCCACTGGCGTGCTGTCACAGTGAACGCCCGGCCTGATCAATACACAGGCCCCAGCTGACACGGAACGGTCAATACGGCCCGTCCGGTCCGCGCCGCTGTTTACCCGCGTCTCCGAGCCGTCCGCCGGCCCCGCCGCTCTTTACCCGCGCCTCCGAGTCGTCCGCCGACCCCGCCGCCGTTTACACACGCGTCTCCGAGCCGTCCGCCGGCCCCGCCGCTGTTTACGCTCGCCGCCGGGCCTTCCGCCGGCCCCGCCGCTGTTTACCCTCGCCTCCGAGCCGTCCGCCGACCCCGCCGCGTGCCACATGTCCGCCGTGCCTTGGCCAGATTTGCGTTGTGTCTCACGTTCTCGCGGGGATAGTCGTACTGTTCAGTCCCAGCGAGGCTCTATCTTCGCGGAGGAGTTAGGCAATAAGCGCTGTTTGCAGGGTTTGCTCCGCCCCAGTTATGATGCTGTTGTTTGCAGGGTTTGCTCCGTCCCAGTTATGATGCTGCTGTTTGCAGGGTTTGCTCCGTCCCAGTTATGATGCTGCTGTTTGCAGAGTTTGCTCCGCCCCAGTTATGATGCTGTTGTTTGCACGTGTGGCGACGCAAGCCCGGCGCTCTTCTTCTGGCGCTCTGACGCGCCCTCTCTCTTGGCCGCCACGCTGGTCTTAACATCCCCTCAGCGGACGGGCCTGTCTGACTGTGTCGCCCGTGTTCCGACCATCCCTCCCGCTCTGCGCGCTGCCCCCCCCCCCCCCCGCAGGTTCGGGAGCCGGCGAGACCGTTCACTTCCCGCCGTGTCCTGTCTCGTCAGCTGGGGGGCGCCGGAGGCGGGCCGGGCCAGGGGAGGGGGTATATCTCGGCTGGTCCGTGGCATGACGTGGCGAGACCGTCACGGCTCAAGGCGAGAGAGGTGGCGTGACGGCCCTGGACACTGCTGCGATCCCGCGGCCGGCCAGTTACTGACTGTGGAGTTGGACCGCCAGCCGTGCCCTCGATCCCGCCGCCGGCCAGTTACTGACTGTGGAGTCGGACTGCCAGCCGTGCCCCATGTGGCGCGGCGCGGCTGGTGTGTGGCGTGGTCGGCGGTGGGACCGGGGCCGGTTCGCGCGTGGTGCAGAGGGCTCCGTTGAGGACACAGCCGGAAGCGGAACTATGGAGCCACCATGTACGAATTATGGTAAAATTTGTGCCTTTGTATCTCTGTGTCACCGGTGACCCTGTACCCCGTGTCCCCGTTGTGTCTATCCAGCCGGTGTCCCTGTATCCTGTGTGGCTGGTATTCACGTATCCCGAGTCCCCAGTATCCCTGTATCCCAAATCCCCGGCGTCCCTGTTTCTCGCGTCCCCGGTGTCCCTGTGTCCCGTTGTCCCGTTGTCCCTGTGTCTCGTGTCTCCTGTGTCCCTGTATCCCTGTATCCTATGTCGCCGGTATCCCTGTACCTTGTGTCTCCGGTGTCCCTGCATCCCGTGCTTCCTATGTCTCTGTGCCTGGTGTCGCCGGTATCCCTATGTCTTGTGTCGCCGGTGTCCCTGCATCCCATGTCTCCGATATATCTGGGTCTGGTGTCGCCGGTATCCATGTACCTTGTGTCCCGGTGTTGCCATCACCCCAGTGTCCAACTGAACTGACCACGGTGTGTGCGCAGAAGGCTTGGCCGGCACCGGCGGCGGTTCGGCGGTGGCGGCGGCCGGCCAGCAGCGGTCCCGGGCCAGCACCCGAGACTCGGACGTCGACGAGCTCGAGCTGGACAGGGACTGTCTGATGAAGTATGTCAAGATCAAGACTCGTCACATCACCGACGGACAGGTGAGAGGACCCGGCGGCCACACACTGCCGGCCGCCCGGGGGGGGGGGGGGGGGGGGCACGACCCTGCAGATCGGGGACAGGGCCCTACAGACCGGAAACAGGGTCCTGCATACCGGAGACAGGGCCCACAGATCGGAAACAGTGTCCTGCAGGCTGGGGACAGGGCCCGGAAGGTTGGAGACGGCTCTGCAGATCGGAGACAGTATCCTGCACGTCGGAGACGGGGCCCGGAAAGTAGGGGACTTATCTGGCGTACTCATCTACGTTGCACAGGCAGTAGGGACTGCTCACATTGGTTTGTTTTATTGTGGTATGTGCGCTCGTCATGTTAAGAAAGATCACGCCCCTATGACTTGGTGTCATCTGTTAACAGCGTTCGGACACAAAGGCATTGGAATGTTCCGGTGTCCGAGGGTATTGAATAGCGATTGGATGTGGTTTGGTGGCCACGCTCAGTGCAGCCCGTGCCCTGAGCTGCTATCACGTAGATGAAGGCGTGGTCTCTCAGTCCATGTCGCCTCCTGGCCGGCTCTTGTAACCAGTTTGTGGACGTGCTGTCCCCACGTGGTAACCTGACTCCGACCGACCATATTGCCAGATGGCTGGTTCTTGTAACCAGTTTGCGGACGCGCTGTCCCCACGTGGTAACCTGACTCCGACCGACCATATTGCCGGAGGACGGTGCATCGGCTTTTGCGCGGTCATGGTCTTCCCATAGCTTTCTTTGCCCGTTCTGGTCTGTCGGGTTGCCTCAAATCGCTGTCCCTTTGGCTCCATTTTCAGAGCGTCAGACCGTAAGTGACATGTCGCAGGCACGTGGACAGGCGCCCCAGAAACCGTGCGTGTGTGGTCCGTCTATGACCATCCGTTGGCAGCTGGCTCAGAGAGTCAGCCGGAAACAAGGGCGGCTGGGGCGCGGCACTATGTGGCATGACAAAACATTTCAGCAAAAAGTTCTGTGGAGCTGGATTTGTTGTTTTGTATGCTGGAGTCCAGCTCCTTATGCTGAGCGAGGGCTTTCATCCCGAAATCGTAAACGTAAAACGTCCGGTCAGATATTCTCGCAAAGAGATTCGTCGGAGTTTGTTGGCACTCGTTTCGACGCCGGCGCGGTCTGACGGGTGCGGTGCGTGTGCGGGAACCGCGGCGGCCCGCGAGCCCGCCGAGCCACGCCGAGCCGAGTGGCACAGAGCGCCAGCCGCTGGTGGGCGGGCTCCAGCGGGCCCGGTCAGCGCGTACTCTCGAGCAGCGTCCAGTGGGCCCGGTCAGCGTGTGTGCTCGGGTGGCCTCCAGCGGGCCCGGTCAACGTGTGCCCTCGGGTGGCCTCCAGCGGGCTCGGTCAACGTGTGCCCTCGGGTGGCCTCCAGCGGGCCCGGTCAGCGTGTGCCCTCGGGTGGCCTCCAGCGGGCCCGATCAGCGTGTGCCCTCGGGTGGCCTCCAGCGGGCCCGGTCAGCGTGTGCCCTCGGGTGGCCTCCAGCGGGCCCGGTCAGCGTGTGCCCTCGGGTGGCCTCCAGCGGGCCCGGTCAGCGCGTACTCTCGAGCAGCGTCCAGTGGGCCCGGTCAACGTGTGCCCTCGGGTGGCCTCCAGCGGGCCCGGTCAGCGTGTGCCCTCGGGTGGCCTCCAGCGGGCCCGGTCAGCGTGTGCCCTCGGGTGGCCTCCAGCGGGCCCGGTCAGCGTGTGTTCTCGGGTGGCCTCCAGCGGGCCCGGTCAGTGTGTGCCGTCGGGCGCTCTTCGAGGGGGTCCCAGCGGTCGGCTCGCCGACAGGGCGGGACTGTCAGGCGCGTGTAGCTAAAATTTGTTTTAAAGATGTGCTAATCTGGGAATTACCGAACTATGGGGCTTTGTCGGAGCGCTGCGAGGCCCAGGCCTCGGCGAAGCTCGCGAAGGTCGGGCACAAAGCCCTACCGGGTGAGACGGGGCTGAGCCGTCCAGCGATGACCTTTGTCAGCACCAGCGCCGGAGCGACGCATGGCATAGCAATGCCACAACTCTGACCGGAAAACCCTAGAATAGACGATCGCTGTCAGATTTCCAGCGTAGAACGGCGCCGGTCTGATATGTTTCTGTGGGGGGCGCTCTTCCAGTGATATGGGCGGGCCGGCATGGAGGGAGGCGGTGGTTCGAGCGCGAGATACGTGTGCTTGCGTCTCGTTTGAGCAGTGGGTTAGAAACCACTTTGAAAATGAGAGCGATCGTTTGGAACCCTCACCAGTGGTCTCCGTTCGCAGGCATGTTGAGTTTCAACGTGATAAACGTACCTGCACAATGTGTGTTTTATGAAGCATGTTTATCTTTGCACCCAACATTCCGCGATCGGCTTGGTGGCGTCCAGTGGTCCGACGTTGACGGCTGGTGTCTCTTCAGGGCGTGGTGACGGGCACTCTGCTGGTGACGCCCAACTGTCTGATGTTCGACCCGAACGTGTCGGACCCGTTGGTGCTGGAGCACGGCGCCGACCGCTACTGTGTTATGGTGCCCATGGACTACATCGTGTCGGCTGCCCTCTTCACCGACATCGCGCACATGAAGGTCAAGGACCGCGGCAACATCCCGCCGTGAGTGCACGCCTCGCCGACACGGCTGCGTCGGTGTGTGCTGCGATGTGAGGCCCGACGGACGTGGAGGAAGAGGCGATGCCGGCGGCGCGCTCCTCCCAGTGACGCGTCCGGAATGCCTTGCTTATGAAGGCCGCTGGTGTTCGGGCTTGTGACGTTACAGGGGCGTCCGTGCTGAGTGTCATTAGAGGGCGGGCAGCTGGCGGCCGGCGCGCGCAGATGGCGTGTCGCCGGACGTGGTCCAGGCTGAGCCGGCTCGGGGGGAAGAGGGACGGGCTGTGGACCGATAGTTGGCCGAAACTGGACATAGGCTCTGGAAGTACAGTTAGATGGTTTGGGAAGTAATGTTCGTCTAACAGTGTAAACTGAGTCATGGAATTTAGTCTAGAATCTTGCTGTTGAAATACGTGATGACTGAGGACGGGATGTCTGTGTGTATTTCTCACTGTTCGGGCACGCTGGGGTGTTGATGCTCACTGGCCTTTTGACCCATTTTTATCATTCCAAGTGAAGCCTTTGGATTCGCCGTGAAACTCCAACCACTGTTGACAGCTGTTTGGGCGTTCTGTTTGCAGTCCGGACCTGCCACCGCCTGAGGTGTACCACGCTCCGCCGAAGGGCTCGCCGGCCCTCGCTACGGAGCCGCCGTCGGCCGCACCGGAGCTGGTGCCGGCCGACGGAACCAGACCGCCGGAGCCGCGGGAGTCGCCGCCACCTGCAGCGCAGCCGGAGCGGGAGCCGGAGCCTGGTCAAGACAAGCCAGAGCGGGATAGTGAGAAACTAGAGGAGGTGCAGGGGAAGCTGGAGCAGGTGCAGGAGAAGCCGGAGCCGGAGCCGGAGCTGGAGCCGGAGGGCATCGGCCTGGCCAAGGAGCTAACGTTTCCGGAGCTGAGCCTGCGGTCCGGCTCGCTTGAGGAGGAGGAGACCGACCCGGAGCGCAGCGACGCCGCCGCCTTCCCCAAGGCGTTCGAGCGCGGCCTGGTGACGCCCGAGGCGCGCCGCGAGATGGCGCTGGGCGACGGTGACGGCGCGCCGCCGCCCACCACCGAGCTGCCGGTGCCGCTGCCGGCGCCGGCCGAGCCCGTCAAGGACACCATGACAGACAGCGCCATCAGCCTGGGCGGCGAGGGAGGCGAGGCGAGCGAGCCGAGGGCCGGCCCCGGCAGCCAGCCACCGGCCGAGGAGCTGCTCGACGAAACCAAGAAGCAGAAGGTGGGTCCGGCTGGCGCTGACGGTGCTCCGCGTCGGCTGGATGGAAAGGGAGTGGTGTGAAGAGGTTTTGGAGATGGCTCGGGGTGCGTCTCTCTCGCTTCCACTTGCCGAGAGTGGCTCTGGTCTTGTAGGTGTAGTGTTGATAATTTCGGTTGGCGGTACACGAGGTGGGGTTTGTTACATCTCTAAAAATGGCGTCTTGTAGTTTACAGTAATCTTTTAACATGATATTGCATTAAGCCTTCATGCGTTTGTGAGAAAAAAACTGAGGAGTTCAGTGAGCCAAATTGCAACGCGATTTAGATGCTAGGATTTTCGCCCGGCGCTCATGCGCTGACGTCCCATCCATCCGCCAGGTCTGGAAGCGGCTTTCACACCCGCTCACCTGGATGGAGAGCTTGTCGGGCGCGCAGGAGCGCGAGCCCACGCCCTCCTCGGCGCCACCGCACCTCGAGAACACGCCCAAGTCGATGCTCTCTAACGTCGTGTCGTCCGTGTCGTCCGTCTCCAACGCGATCGCGAGGTAGGTGGTGTGCGCATGCGGCCGGGGGTCGGGGGAGGTGTGGAGCGCGGCTCCGGTCGGCGTAGGGTGGTCCCGCGTGGCCTACAGCCGCAGCCAGGTAGTGTAGCCCGCAGTTGGGGCTCCCAATTCCCGCACGTTCTGCTGTAGCTGTTCTCTGAGCGTTCAGCTGGCTGCTGAGCGGAACTTAACGCTCCATCTAGTTTGGCATCTTCTAAACATCAGTTGCTCGCTCGTTTCGATTGTGCTTGCGATGCTGCTCATGCCGACGTGCCACCACCTCTGTATGGGTTACGCCGAGCCCGGCCAGGTGGGGCTGCCACATCAGACACCGCTGCGCTGCTGCGGGGGAGTGCTAGAGGCAGGTTGGTGACTGAAGGGCGGAGAGAAATCAACCTACTTTTGTCGAGTTTTTCAGTGCTTTAGCGAGGAACATTATTCACATAGATAAGACAGTAGTGTTGGCCTTACTTCTCGGAGAAAACCAGAGCAATGGAGATATATTTGGGTTGATATTTCGGCAACATGCCGTTATAATATAGCAGAAAGCAACTACAAATACCTAGTAGCAGAATAGCTAATAGCAGAAGTCTGCTATTGTTTCGATAAACTTCTGCTGTTGTTCCGGTAAACGCATGTTGCCGAAATATCAACCCAGCTATATCTCCATTCTGGTTTTCTCTGAGGAATAAGGCTAATACTACTGTCTTACCATTTTTGTCGAGGGTTGACTTTAAAGCCAGGGCTTGTAAAGCATTCAGCTGTCGGCGTGATTCTCGCTACTCCTACTACTCGCTACACTACTAGGATAGTTTCCACCGTTTTTGCCTGGAGAAATGGCTGGAAACAAGATCTGTTGTGCATACAGCTATCCTAATCAGAACCAATTCTGAAACGCATTGAACCCATGAAGACAATCAAGAGCAAAGGCCTGGCGTGTGCGCCTGAAGGACCGAAAGGCCCCACCTGATAGTGAGCGCGAAGATAGTGTTCCCCGGCACAGCAGCGGTGTGGGATGCGTCAGCCCCGGCTGGTATCGAGCCTGGTCCCGAGCCGGGCCGAGCCTGGTCCCGAGCCGAGCCTGGTCCCGAGCCGGGCCTGGTCCCGAGCCGGGCCTGGTCCCGAGCCGGGCCAAGCCTGGTCCCGAGCCGGGCCGAGCCTGGTCCCGAGCCGGGCCGAGCCTGGTCCCGAGCCGAGCCTGGTCTGGGGCCGAGCCTGGTCCTGAGCCGGGCCGAGCCTGGTCCCGGGCCGGGCCTGGTCCCGAGCCGGACCGAGCCTGGCCCCGAGCCGAGCCTGGTTCCGAGCCGGGCTGAGCGCGGTCCCGGGCCGGGCCTGGTCCCGAGCCGAACCGAGCCTGGCCCCGAGCCGAGCCTGGTCTGGGGCCGAGCCTGGTCCCGAGCCGGAGCGAGCCTGGCCCCGAGCTGAGCCGGCACCGGGCCAAGCCGGTACCGAGCGGCCGTTGACGCCGCTGCCGGCGCCGCAGCTCTCCACGCTATATCGTAGACCTGGGCAGCGGCCTGCTGAGCTCCCTCTCGCCGGGCGACGCCGAGCTGGGCACGACGCCGGCCGGCGCTCCGCGCGAGCCGGCCACCACCGGCCGCGCCGGCTCCCTCTCCGAGCAGGAGGCGCGCAAAGAGGGCAACTCCGTCTTCTACACCGAGTGAGTTGTGGCCCGAGCTGGCGCTGGCGCCTGCGCCGTCGCAGTGTGGGTCTCAGCGTGCTGATACCGTCTTCTGGGCTGACTGAGTGCTATTTTCCGCCGGACGGCACTTTCTTATGTGCTGAAGGCGGGCCTGGTCTGTGTGTCTCGAGTCGCTGGGGCCGGTGGTCGCGAAGGACCGGAAGCATGGCCAAAATTTGCGCGTAAGTATGGAGGAATAGTTGTTGCAGCCTACGATGGAAGCTGCTCATCTGATGCATGGCGGCTTTTGCTGACTACATATCTGACTGTAGTGGTACAGAATACGCAAGGCCTCTCAGCGGGCGTATGAACTTGATGTCATGCAGCGCGTGACCTGTCGTCCACGAGCGCACGGTGCGGCGGCAGCAGCTTTCAGCTGCGGTATAGATGGCGCGCGCGATGCCTGCTGTGGGCAGTACGGTGAGTGTGTGGCGGGTCCCGGTGGGCCGACTCTATCAACTGTCGGCTCACATGCGGAGAGAGAGAGATAGGTCTGACCAGACAGTGTTTTGGCGTCTCTCGTGTCCCCAGGGTGTCTTAACCCGAATCAGTCATCCCCAATCGGTCTTTGTCATGGGCCCACCTTAGCCATGACTCTGCCAGCGCTCCGGTCTCGCTGTTCGGCCCCTACCACCCGAGAATGCCGTTTTGTTTGGTAGCCGCATGTTGGACCGTTTGCAGTGTGAAGGTCGTTCGTAGCGCATGTGCCTGTGCCATGAGTGCAGCATGTCCGGTACTGAGACGGGGATGACATACCGCTTACTCCGCAGCAACCGTCCGTTGTTGCATTTTTTGTGCAACCGTGTTAGCGCTGCGGTTTTTGTGTGGTGATGCCACAGGCTTTGACATCTTCACGCCGAGGTGACTGAATAGTGCTTTCGGAAAGGTGTGCCTGCCTGCCTGGCCATCGCGGGCGGCGGCGGCGTCAGACCACTATCGCCTGGCGCCTCGACCACGGTGGCCAAGACCGCCACACTTGACAAACGAGCGCCTGCTGCCCGGTCCGGATGGTGTCTCTGCTAGGGCCGGACGAGGCCGGGTTGGCGCGAGAGGGTTAGCACTGGAGCGGCCGACACTCCGATAGAAAGCCGGCCGACCGGGGCAGGGCGGCGGCGGCGGGTATGCGCGGTCCGGGTCGGGGTCAGCGGGTTTTTGCGCTCCGTGTCGGCCGGCTGGGCCGCCGTTATCGTGCCGTCTTTTCCGAGCAGCGCATGACCCAGCCACCGTGGCGGCGCCGCCAGCCGGCGCGGAGCCGGGTCCTCTCGCCTGCCGCCAGCCCGTCCGGCACGGGCCCCTGACATTTCAGGACACGGTGCCGCTGCCCTGGCGCTCGGTCGCCCCGACACGACACGGCACCTGCTGAGGATTGGGTCTGTGGCCTTCCGTGGTGTGATGCTGACACGTGGGTCATGACACCAGCCCGTCGGTGTCCAGTGTTATGACACGCCGCCGGTCTAGCGGGTGATGTGGTGTGAGGTTTTCGGCCGTGAGACGCCTCTGCCCCCCGTCGCCAGGCGGTCGTCGTTGGACCGCCGGCCGCGTGCCCAGGCCAGTTTCGGCGGCTACAAGAACCTGGTGTCGATGGACGAGCGGCCCTCGCTGTTCACCTCGTTTGACGGTGAGTGAACGAGGAGGACGGCCGACTCCGTGGTGTCACTGTTATTACCCGCGGTGTCATTGGTGTCACCGCGGCGTCACTGGTGTTATCGTGGCGTCACTGGTGCCACCCGCAACGTGAACCCGCGGTGTCACTGCTGTCGCCGTGCCGTCGCTGCTCAACTGACCGTGATCGGCAGTGGCGATGTCTGTCGCGTCGTGGCCGAAGCGACGTGCGTATTATGTTGTCCCGCTGCGATGTGTTCGGACGGCGCTGGAAGGAATTTGTTCGATGAGTGAAACTAACACCTCGTTTTCTCCAGTCAAAGGGACGTGCTTTCCTGGTTTTGATGGTCATGGTATGTTCATAATGGGAGTGAAATATTTGTTCAGGTTGTGTGCATGCGTGTATTGTACCATTCGATGTTTGTTTTGCCCGGCTTTCCCCAGCCGCGCGGTGCTGTTATGTGCGTCCACCTTCTACTAGTGGCATTATGTTGCTGTGTTCTCCTCCGAGATTCTTTGGTCGTAAAGAAGCTCAGGTCGATAATGCTTCAACCAACCAGCCAATGATTTAGCGCCGTGCACATTTGCGTTTGGACAAGCTTTGCTTTTTCTATTGTCATCGTCCATCACTATTGCACTCTGCACCATCTCTCCTCCTGCACCGCTTTATTCTTTGACGATATTACATCATTTGCCTCGTTTCACTGCAAGTGCTGCTGGCTGCGTCTGTCATATTTTCATCCACGTGAGACGGCCTGCGCATAGGTAGAAGGCTCCTCGCCCGCCGCTTCCTTGTCTGGCATCAGATCTCAAATATTTTACACTGCTCTTTACCGTCTTCGATCTTGCCGTGGCGCCTAACACCTTTCTGTATTGGTATCGTTGGCCATTGTCACACATCCCACAGGCTTCTCATAGGTTCGTGCATGCCATCAATTGGGCTGATTTTAAGTTTGTGTGGTGCCTTTTGTGTAATGGACCTTGTGACTTGCTTTGCGGGTGCCTTCGGCTGTGTGAGTTAGTGGACTATGAGCGTCTTGAAGAGCACCGTGACTAGCTCGGCAACGCTATGTTACATACTCGTTACGTTGCAAATGTTACGTAGTCAAGCTCCGTAGTCCATGCGCGCAGACAGTCTATGCAGTTAGAGGCTGGATAGCTCGTCAGCGTTTGCCGTCTGGCGCCTACGATTCGGCTAACGTGATGCTGGTGTCGGACGATGTAAGGCCTCAGAGATTTCCACGCGTTTGTGCGGTTTTGAAAGCAGTAGCGTATTTGTGTCACGATTGCTATGTACTACTGTCCACGCACGCAGCGTCCCTTGGCCAATGCGTGCCGGCGAGAGACGACTCGCGGTTAGGCCGGGCCGCCAGCGTGACCGCCGACCCAGGCACTGAACCTGACCTGACCTGGCCTGGTGGCTGCAGAGCTGATCCCGAAGCCATCGCAGCGGGCCGACGATCCGCCGCTCTACCTCTGCCTCATCATGGGCAAGCGCAAGGGCCGCAAGATCCGCAAGACGGTCCGCATCGTCTCCTACGGCGAGGAGAAGCTGCGCTCCGAGCTCTGGTTCTCCATCCCGCGCGACAAGTGAGTGGCCGGCCGGCTGTGCAGCAGGCCACGCCCCTTGCGGCCGGGGTACCCCCGAGAGGAGGCCGGTGAAGTCAGCCGCGTGACCCAGTGTCTGGGTGATGCTCTGTATTTGGCTCGGCGGTCCCTGTTATGAAGGGAAGCGCGGGAGAGTGGAATGGGTAGGGCATGGCCGGCTGAGGCCGCCAAGCGGCTCGGTGACGGGGTCACGGGCGGGTGGCTGTCGTCCCTTGGAGAGCGGCCGCCTGCCGGCCCCGCTGTAGCCGAGGGCTGGTCCGTGTGACTGGCTGCCAGTGCACCGTCGAGCGGCCGTCGGCTTCTCCCGCCGGCCGCGAGACCCTCCGCCGCCGCTGACGCACCCGCCCGTTCCAGATGTGACCAGTTGTACCACTTCATCCAATACTGGGCGCCCGAGATATACGGCAGTCTGCAGACCACCAAACCGGAGGAGCGCGGCTTCGAGCTGGTGGACTCAGATTCTGGTGAGTGAGCGACTCGGCCGCATTGGTGTGGGGAGGCGATGGGGGAAGGGACGGGAGCTGACCTGATGGCGTGCGTGGGTCGCCGACCCGGCCGCCGGCGGCGGGTCGAGCGGGTAGGCGGACACCGCTGGGGTGAGCGCGACCGGCCGGGCGTCGGCGAATCGCCGTCTCGGCTCCGCCGCCGGACCGGGGGCGGAGGGAGTGGTGCGGGTTAGCCGCCTGGCCGGTGCTCTGACTCGGTCTCAGCGCCGGAAAGGCGCCGACGGGTCGAAATCCTCGAGAGATCATCGATCGCCACCGTCAAGGTCCAGATGGAGATGGCCGGCCGGCCGGCATTGGCGGAAGATGTACCGCCTGCCGGGCCCGGTCGCGGACCTGGCTGCGTCAAGCGGAAGACCATCCGGTCCCCGCGCCGAGTTCGGGGTGGTCGTACCGGCGGTGGTCGTACCGCCGCGCCTCCGCGGTCTGAGTCGGGACTCGTCGTGGGCGCACGGAAGTCTGGCGAGCGAAAGAACGCATGGATGAACTAAGTCCAAGGTCGCTGAGGAGGTATGCGCTCCTTCATTTTGTGTTTCGCAGGTGCACGGAGCGGCAGGATTGCGTAACCGAAAAGCTGCTGACACCATTATTGTGTTTGCCTCTTCGGTTACATAATTCAGCCCAGGCTGGCATTCAGAAGTCAGGCGCGCACTTCCGCAGCCGTTTTCATGGCCCGGTGTGTCGGCACGTGCGTGCCTTCGTCGGATGTATCGACCCTGCGTCCGATTTCGCGATATCGGCGACAGCTATGGAGCAGGTATTACGCAAAAGTGGGGTGGCGCGTCCATTATGCTTTTCGCGCATAGCGACATTTGTACAGCCTCGGCGCCTGGCCGGGCGGCAGGCCGCGTGCAGTGTGCTGTGCGGCCTAGGCTGCAGGCGTGGATGACTGGCAGTAACTGGTGCCGGGCGAGCTGGTGCTGTCCCCGGCTCGCGGCTCAGACCGGGGGGGGGGGCGATGGCCGTCCAGGTGACGTGCCCCACCGCGGTGCCGGCTGCTCATACTCATGTGCACTTTACGTCCTCTCCATGTATCAAGCTGTGGCATGAAACGGTATGAAGTTCGGTAAGGCAGTCTTTTCTGGTGCTAGCTTCTTGTCGGTGCTAAAATGGTGCGTTTTAGTTTCCTCATTGTGTGCCAATAGCTTCAGTCGCGAGTGCTGCATGTGTGGGCGTTTCTGCACATTCCGGTTCCAAAAAAAATCAGGATAACACCTTTTGACAGGAATGCGGCTGGGTAGTCCGGGGTGTACTGTAAGTGTTCGGTATCGCTCGGTCGTTCGGTCTCGGTCGGTCTCGTTCACTCGTCGTGGACACGCATCCGTCGGCTGATGCTGTATTCTGCGCTTCGAATGTCGGGCCAGGAAGAGGACATACGCGTCCTCTCCCTGGCGGCGCTCGCGAGACGACTGCTCCGTTACCGGGCGGCGCGACCCCGCACAGGACACGACGCATGTGGCGCAGTTTCCGGGCTGGCCGTAGGGCCGGGGCCGCAGGGACAGTAAACTAAACAAAACATAAATCTAAAGGGGAAACTCGACGGGGGACCGAGAAATGGAGAAAAAACAGGTCAGAGACAGGACAGCAAAGCCGACATTTCAGAAAAAAGGAAACCGTGTAAAGGCAGATTTGTACGGAACAGTAAGAGATGCATGTTTGTGAACGTTATAACTGTCTGCGATGTTTCATTAGACGTTAGCTACTTCCATGAAACTTGTTTGGGATCACTCCTTTTGGCCATTACTGACAGAAGGAAACAAATGGACTCGGGTGTTTTGTTACCACCATCTCGGGCCGCACAAATCACGCTGGTAAACATCAAAATATCAGTTTGCATGCACATGTAGGTCTGACCGTCGGTTTTTCCCACCAGTAGCCAGTTTCTCGAAACAGAACTTCGTATATTTTTGGCGTAAATTGTACATTTTTGGTATGTACTCGTTTGATTCAGTTTCTCAAAGCAAAATACACAACTTACAACTACAATCTACGACACTTAAAAAAATACGCAGAAAATGCACAATCCAGGACGCAAATATCCACAAACAATCTTGCATTAGTTTCTCGAAGCTAAGACCAAAATTACGATAGAGCTGAATTTTGATAGGTCCTTGATGAATTTGGCAATGCAATCAACGCAAGCATCTGTGTCATGGATTATAACACTGACCTTAGGACTGTTACTTATTGAAAGACAAATTGCTGCAGCGGCTAGCCTAAACAGCATGCAACAGCTGCTAAAGGCTTAACAGAGCATAAAGCTTGAGTGTGAGCAAGTAATAGTGAGTGTCCCAGCCTTTCAGGCAAGAAGCCTTGGATAGGGCATACCAGGCCCAAAAGATAAGGCAAAACTGCCTGGTCAAGGAACTTCCTTTGCAAGAATGCTAAAATACATCACAATTGAGAGAAATTTGTGCGGCTGCCACAATACTTGTTATGAATACCATACATTCTATGTTCATGCAAGCTGTATTCTAGACACTTTCAAAGTGAGATATAGGCAGTATCATTGTCTGCAGTACCTGCCCTGGTTGAAAACATTGTGATGTGCAATAAATGCTAATACAATGGCTTAGCATAACACAATAATTATTCCCTGAAGTTGACATCATTTGAATAGCACGGCTACATACATCCTGTGCATCACTATGCCATAAGGCAGCAGCTAGCCTGCATAAAATCATATAATAGAAACATACTTTCAATCATCAGTCATATGGAAAGATCCTGTTCCCAACGACAAGTACAGCAGGCTGCTTATGATTTGATCCATGAATGGCCCTTTTTCAGTGATCAGTGACAGCTCATGTTTACTTCACATGTTCCCTTAAGCTCTGAAGGCTAAGGTCTGACAGTCCCACCTTCAATGCCCAGGACATGCTTAGTAAGCATTATGTACTTACTGTTCACATGATCTCGTCCACAATCGCTATGCAAAATTTAGCCTCCATGAGTCGAACATTCTAGGATGAAACTGAACACTGAAGGAGCTGATGAATGGAAGAAAGCTTCCTTCGCCGAATCTATCAATCATGCACAACATTGCCACCAAAACCAGCCCCCAGTTCGGCACGCATCTCTACAAGGCCACACACATCTATACGTGTTCATCTGTTTATTACGTAGTACGGAGACTTACAACGCGCAGCGGTCGACGCGACTAAATGGTGTTGCTGAAAAGTGGGTGCGCACTACTACGGGCGAGTCGACGGGCAGCGGTCTCGCGCAAATTCCTTGCGGACGGGGAGCTGTCTTCTCTCTCTCTCTCTCTCTCATCTCTCTCTCTTTCTCTCCCTTCTCTCCTCTCCGCTCTCTCTCCTCTCTCTCTCCTCTCCTCTCGCTCCCTCTCTCTCTCTCTCTCTCTCGTCTCTGTCCTCTGTCTCTGGTCTCAATGCTCTGTCTCTGTCTCTGTCCTCTTTTCTCTGTCTCTGTCTCTGTCTCTGTCTTGTCTCTGTCTCTGGTCCTCTGTCTTCTGTCTGGTCTCTGGTCTCTGTCTCTGTCTCTGTCTCGTCTCTGTCTCTGTCTCTGTCTCTGTCCTCTGTCCTCTGTCTCCGTCTCTGTCTCTGTCCCTCTGTCTCTATGTCTCTGTCTCTGTCCTCTTCTCTGTCTCTGTCTCTGTCTCTGTCTCTGTCTCTGTCTCTGTCTCTGTCTCTGTCTCTGTCTCTGTCTAGGTCTCTGTCCTGTCTCTGTCTCTGTACTCTGTCTCTGTCTCTGTCTCTGTCTCTGTCTCTGTCTCTGTCTCTTGTCTCTGTCTCTGTCTCTGTCTCTGCTTCTCTGTCCTGTCTCTGTCTCTGTCTCTGTCTCTGTCATCTGTCTCTGTCTCTGTCTCTGTCTCTGTCTCTGTCTCTGTCTCTGTCTCTGTCTCTGTCTCTGTCTCTGTCTCTGCTCTGTCTCTGTCTCTGTCTCGTCTCTGTCTCTGTCCTCTGTCTCTGTCTCTTGTCTCTGTCTCTGTCTCTATCTATCTCTCTTCTCTCTCTCTCTCTCTCCTCTCTCTCTCTCTCTCTCTCTCTCTCTCTCTCTCTCTCTCTCTCTCTCTCTCTCTCTCTCTCTTTCTTTCTGTCTTTAAACATTGCCAACCATACTCTTCCCTTGTCCATGGTCGTCATTGGGGATTTAGGACGCACGTAGCTTCTTCGGCTAGATGGCGTCAACTGCCTCTCATCCTGGCGGAAACGCGGGCACCGCGGGTAATCGAACCCCGTTCCCAGACGCCTTAACCACTGAACCATCGGCACCTGTCCCTTTGCTTTCATGTCCTGATAAGCGTTGCTTTTCAACCAAAGCGTCATAATCGAAGCTGGAGATAATATCCTCAAAGTCGTGAACTAATGTGGCTGGTTTGATGACGTGCCAGGCAAGTGAAAACATGCATAGTATTTTGTCTTAATCGATGGTAGTTCGGGTTAAGGTAACACATACTCAAAACTTAAAATGTACGTTCATTACTGCCATAATTATCTCAAGTTTGGTGGTCGTTGTCCTGGCAACAGGACGCACAAATCTACGCCACTGCCAAATGTACAAACTACGACAAAGGTCACGTGATGACTTTGAGAAGCTGACTTAATGTGTAGTTTGTAAAATCGAAAGTACACATTAATGCTTAGCGTAAGATTGTACCTTCGCTTTGAGAAACTGGCTCCAGCTGTCTGAAAACTCGCGGGTCATGTTTGACATATGCTGAAATGAAAAGTAGTATACATCGACGACTTACTTGGTTTCTTTGTCCCCCATCCGTCTCTACATTCTCGGTTGCAAGCGCTCAATATTACTGTTAGTTGCCGACACTGATGGAAATATGCTTGGACCGGTTTCAAAATAGGCAACTTGTAGCATACAATTCATCAAAATAAGCCGCGTTGTAAATTACGTGATGGTAACGGGCTTCCTTCATTAGTCAGTGGCAGTCGCGCAAATTTGCGATGTGCCACGTACAAGACGTGTTGGCGTGTTGCCGGAATGAGGCGCGCCAAGCTCCAATAGCGTCCTGTAGCTGAGGGAATACTCCTGCAAATGACAGCCGCGCGGTCGGCGCGCCTCACGCAGTCGTCCACATGACTCTCACACGCCGCCCGGCGATGGAGCGAGGTTCGGGGTGCGTATCATACACATGACTCTCACACGCCGCCCGGCGATGGAGCGAGGTTCGGGGTGCGTATCATACACATGACTCTCACACGCTATCCGGCGGTGGAGCGAGGCTCGGCGGTGCGCCTCACGCAATCATTCACATGACTCTCACACACCGCCCGGCGGTGGAGCGAGGCTCGCCCGGGCCGATGGGGTGCAGGCTTGACCGGACTGGCACGGCAGCGGCACACGCTCGCCCTACCCGGCTCCCGTCAAGTGATGGTAACCCGGCTCCCGTCAAGTGATGGTAACCGAGAGGCGGCACCAGCAGCTGGTTTGAACACGCGGGGGTGGTACGTGACTGGCAGCCACTGCGCGGCTCGGGATTAAACGCTGCTGCCGTGCGCCTGTGGTGGTGTGCGTGTGATGTTGATATGTACAGTTTGACGAGGTCATTTCACGTTCATTTAGCTGGTGCTATGTCGCACAGTTTTCTATTTTTGCTCTCTTCTATTTCCATTGGCTTTTGCGCCGGAGTCATTGGTGAAGGATGATAAAAGGATATGGCCAGTTAAGCTTGTTTGTCCAACAATGGAGGGAAACAAGTGACCGCATGACGGAGCTCAACAGGGCGTACTATGACATTTCCAAAATGCTTAAGGATGGCAGTGCAGGTTTGTGTTCGGCTTTTCTTCGGAACACCCCGCCGCTTTCAGGCGCTTACGAGGGCCCGGCTCTACAGCCAAATGGCAACGCGTGCATGTCCTGCTTGTTCTATCCCAGGAATGTTGGTTGTTCCGGCCCGACTGCGACCATACTTAAGGTTACACACGTCCGTCTCTTATGTTTGTACGTCACATGCATCGCATCTGCAAACGTTAACCGCTAACACCGGATATTGAGGGGTCGGCGGCTGTTATATCTCGTGAACGCCCAAGCACGCTTGCTGTGATGAGTGGGATGTGATGGCAGTTTGGTTTGCCATGCTATGGGCCGACCCCATCGGGCCGCTGTTGTCCAGTCCCGGTAACGGGAGGGGGTCCGTCTGTTCGGGCCCCGGTGCAGACTAGCCGCGGGCGTCGCCCGCCCTAGCCAGTGTGTCGTGCGGTCCGGCCTGGTGACCTGTAACCGCGCACTGACCGTCGGGGTCCCGCTCCGGCAGATATCTGGGAGGCCGACGAAGGCTGGGAGGCGGTGGCCAGCGACGCCACCTCGGGCGAGGCGGGCCTCATTGACCTACCGCGGCAGCTGCCCAAGCAGAGCTGGGAGGTAAGCCGCCGCCGCCAACGACGACGACGACGGGCCGTGGATAACGCCCTGGTCGATGACGCGCATCTGTACAGACTGGCATCTCTCGGATCACACGGCTGGCGTCTTTTTTGTCGGTTTGCGTTGAAACATTGGGTCTTTTTCGCCTTTCTCCGTATTTTTCTCTCTGTCTGTCTGTGTGCCCGTCTGTCTCAGTTTGGCCTGCCTGCCTGACTGGCTCTCCAGTGTCCGACTGTGCGCCACCCGTGCGTTTGACCGAGCGCCGTTTTCACGCTGTCCAGGTCATAAAGGCCCCCTACGTAAAGCTGTATAGTATGATCAAAAGCCAGACGTCGGCCACGTCAGAGGAGGAGATGAACGAGGTAAACGGTGGTCCGGCCTGGCTGTTCGTCTAGCGTAGTGACGTAGTGCGTCCCGCCCCGTGCCCGCTGCGTAGTGTAGACGGCGACCTGATCTGGACCTGTTCGGGGGTGTGACCTGGCACGTGTGGCCTGACGCGCCCAGGCCCCGGCCCCGCGCCGTCGCACCCTGACCTAGCACGATGTCGCGCAGAACCCGGCGCCGGGAGCCCCACTGCCGACATTGTCTCTACGCTGTGTGTGATTTCCACCCTGGTGTGGAGAAGCCACAGCCCCTGGCCTGGTTGCCCCCTCCTCCCCCCCCCCCCCAGCTTGCTGGGACCAGGGACGGACACCATACCATCGCCAGCACGAGCCCTGAGCTGCCATGACCCCTGACCCCCTGGCGCGCCGCGGCGTCGCATGGACAGCTCGGGGCGGGCGTGACCTACCGACCTGCTCCCGCTCACCAGCCTGCCCGGGCTGAACTCACCGGTCTGTCCCCGCTCACCAGCCTGCCTGGCCGAGACCCGCGGCCCGCCACCGACCCTGCACCCGCCAGCTCGCCCGCCTGCGCCCATAGTCCCCCTCCCCCTCCCCATCGTCGCCTTCACCGGCGCCGCCCTAAAACTCCAATCATCCCAACACGGCCATCTCAGTGGGGGCGTACCGTCTGGTTGCACGTTTGGTTTGCCGGCACCGGCCGAGCTGAGCCGAGAGCGCTGCTCGGCGACACTAGCCCTGTTCACAACGCACAACTCGGGAAAGCTACTTAAGTGACTTTCATGGGCGATTCCAGGTTCGCCTTGCTAACAAGTGTAGTATTGCAATAAAATTCGTTTCATGCAGTTTTTCCTTAGTGCCCAACTAAAATGTGCAGACGTTCTTCCGTAGTAGTTGTCCAGCAAAATTTGTTGCCTAAAACTACCCTTAATTCCTCTCTCCCAACCAGCCTGGACCTACTTCCGCCGCTGCGCGTCTGCGCTGGCAACCGTCGCCCGATAGTGGCCAGATCGTAAGCTACCTAGATGGGTCACGTTTTCGATCGATCTGTGAAGAAAATGAAAAGGCAGCCCCAATAATGCGATCGACTACGGATGAAGCAGAGAAAACTTTGCGTGTATCTTGCGGCATCTCGGTGCGAGACCTGGCGAAAGCAGCGGTTATGAAACAAGAGGATCGATGTCTGTCTGCGTTGTTAGGTATGATTTGGTTTGCGATGTGATTGCAAGTGATCGTGTGGTGTGCAGTGTAAAGATAATATTGAATTAATCAGCTCCTTCCGTACCTCAATTAATGGCATGTCGTTCTGATATTGCTGTCAGACTGTCGGTCACATAACCAGGGGATGGTGGCTGGCTATTTATGTAGTATGCTCCTTCCTTTGTGCTCAGATGGCAATAGGTTGGTGCTCAAAGGAGAAGTTTTTGTTGAAATTAGGAGGCCATTTCTAAAACCTCAGCTTAACAAAGAATTTGCAGTTTTCGAGAGTTTGCTATTGAGACCTTGTATGAAGTCTGGGGAACTCCCATAGTTAACCTGGTGCTCGCACCTTTCATGCATTCACTTCGTGCCCTAGACATTCAGTACAGAAATAATTATTCAGATGGGAATTCGGACTCCAGACACATACCCCGCATCACCGACCCTCCACCCACCCACCTCATAACCCCCCTGGAAGCAGCGCGCCCGCGTACTCCGGACTGGACAACTCACAACAGCTGGTTTAGAGATAAAATAGTTTTGGGCATGAGCCCGGGAGGTAAAAACCCAGCAGTGATCGCAATCACGACAGCATTTGAGGTGAGAAAGGTAGTATTTTGGTGTATTAGCACAGTATTTGTTACATAGAATGAAGCTTCATCCGATAAATTAGGTACAAGGAGGATTTGGCTCACTTACACACACTGGTACAAAGGTGCTCGGTCCACTCCGCGCGAACAATCATGCGTCTTTAACCTTGACAACAAATCATGGCCGCCGCCTGGTATTATTAGCATATTTCATAGTTGGCCACAATATCACAAGTGAAGCCTCTCAAGATGGAAATTGTGGAGCGACATTCAGTTCTAATTTTTGTTGGTAGGGCTATATGTTGCTTCAATTTACCTGAAAGTTACTTTGTTGTAACCGATTAATCTAATCATATGTAAGACTTAGAAGCAGCTAGAAAATAGACCCAATAAGCCACCTACCAAAGGTCACGTATGGTAGCTTTAACAAGTTGCGCATTGTGAACGAGGCTGCTGAGACCACGTCTGGTGTCCGTCCAACGGCGCGATGTTCGGCAGGTGCGCCACCTCAGATACGCAGAAAGCATTGGTACTCGAGTAACTCCCCAAACGGATTCGCCGGCTAATCGCAGAGCAGGTGACCGTCCTTGTGCTGAGTTGTTCGGACGGCTTTTTGCATGCCTTGTATTGCAGATGTCTGCAGTGAAATTGGCAATCGAATACAATGCAGCAAGGTATGTATTCAGCGCATTAATCACGCGAATGGTAGGCATTTAATGTGTGCAGCACCGTCCAAATTGGTTTGACGTCACTAGGGATGTCATTGTTTATCATCCCTGCAAAATCACTCCGGTTAGCATCCCGTTTGTCACACCAAGGACAGGCCCCGGAAGAGAACTGCGGAGCACGGTGAGAACGACTGTTGGTTGTGTGGTCAGAGCTAACTGAACATATCAGCGGGTCACGTCCGCTGGCGCCGCGCTCGGCTGGGCCCGAGCCGCCCGTCAGTGTGGTCAGAGCTGACTGAGCGGATCAGCGGGTCACGTCCGCTGGCGCCGCGCTCGGCTGGGCTCGAGCCGCCCGTCAGTATGGTCAGAGCTGACTGAGCGGACCAGCGGGTCACGTCCGCTGGTGCCGCGCTCGGCTGGGCTCGAGCCGCCCGTCAGTGTGGTCAGAGCTGACTGAGCAGATCAGCGGGTCACGTCCGCTGGCGCCGCGCTCGGCTGGGCTCGAGCGGCTCACGCAGGCTCACGCCGTTTGGCCTCCGGTAACGCCGGAGGCGACATTCAGTGGCAATCTGGCGGCTCCAACACTGCCGGCTAGCTGCGATCGCTCGCGTCTGCCGGCTGGCTGCGGTCGCTCGCATCTGCCGACTAGTGGCGCTAGCCGTCGGTGGTCAAAGCTCTCGGCATCGGCTAAGCGAACATCGTATAAGCTACGCGATGAAACCGGAAAACAACCGGCGCCTCTGGCGTTTCGCGTTCCGCCTTGCGGTTGGGAAAGGGGTCAGCGATAGCCGCTCGTCCTGGTTAGTTCAGGGCTGAATTGACGTACGTGCATAAAAGTGAAAAAGGAAGGGGAGCTGTGCAAAGTATCCGCATAGTGGTGGGTGATGAAGGGACAGTTCTGATGGTACAATGACTATCGAACCCGTTCCCGTGACTGACAGGGTATCAGCCCTCATTGATTGGCAAAAACGGCTATTGTGTCTTGCTTTGGACGAATATCCTGTATGCTCCCAACGACCAGTCTTTATGCCTTCCCCAGAGCCAGGAAAAGCTGGCCCTCGTTTCTCGTAACTCCCCACTGGCTGGAAGGTTCTGGGGACCCGGACAGTGAAGCGTGCCGGGACTGTGACTTCTCTAGCGGCTGTCGGTGGACGGCTCGTGGCCGGACGCAAGAGACGGCTGGAGCCCCCCCCCCCCCCCCCCGCTCCCCATCCCACCCCTTTTCCTGCTCCTCTCGCCCCCGGCTGCAGGTTCTTCTGCACGGGGACCAGGCAGGTTTCTCCTTCCAGCCTTCTCTTGTGAGCACATTAGAATGTTTCTGCTTGGCAATGCCTCCTGTGTGCCCCCTCCCCCCCCCGCCCAGTGCCGATGCCCCATGCCATGTTTTGTCCTTGACCTTTCGCGCCTGGTTACGTGACATCTGATGTCCTTGTCCCGGCGCACCGTTCCACACCGTGTCGCTGTGTGTAAGTGCGGTGTATTTCCCTCACCGGTCCTTATGTTCCCGGTCCCTGTGTGGCTGCTAACGTCGCGGCCTTAGAGCCATGTGTTTGCCTTTGACGTGTCCGTACCGTCGATGGCCTGGGCCTCGAACCGCGTCTCGGTGCCAGACCAGGGCTCCCCGCCAGCACTAGCTGTAGGGCTGATGTGTTTTAAAACTGGTGCTCTTTCGCACTAGCTGTAGGGTCGGTGTGCTCCAGAACTCGTGCCCGCCCGCACTAGCTGCACGGCCGGTGTGCTCCAGAACTGGTGCTCTATTGCACTAGCTGTAGGGCTGGTGTGTTCCAGAGCTGGTGCGTGCCCGCCCGGACTAACTGTGCGGCCGGTGTGCTCAAGAACAAGTGTCCGCCTGCACTAGTTGTAGGGCCGATGTGCTGTAGAACTGGAGCCCGCCTGCACTAGTTGTAGGGCCGGTGTGCTCGGGCCGGCGCTGTAGGAGCGGAGTGCCCCCTCCCCTTTCCCCCGCCCGCCCAGACTGTAAGGCCCGCCCCTGCACCGATCGTAGGGCCCGCTTGTGCACCGACCGTGGGATCCATTAGAGCTCTGCACTCGATGTCGGCACCGCTCCAGTGTGGCATGGGATGCAACGTGCGTAGCCGAGTGGGGCACACCTTTGGGGCGGGCCTCGCCACCACCGACTCTGACCGTTTCAGCCGCTGTGAAGACGGATTACGCCGCTCCAAGCTCGAGCCACGTGGATAATGAATGGGTGGTATTCCCCAGTCGCAAAACTAACCAACGCAAAGGTCTTGGCAGTGCAGCAAATCTCTGCGGTTTCCACGGCTAGCCGCTGCCATTCGTCGGCCTCAGTCTGGTCGGCCCGACTGGCCTTGCCCGTTGTTTTCGCTGCCCGACCGGCGACGCGTGTTTGCCGGAACTGGGGCGGCGCGATGGTCACGCGCTGGGCTGGGCACACTCCTCGGCGGCCCGCGGCTCCGTGTGAGCGCCGTGGCCGGTCAGGGCGTGTCGACTCCTGCGCGCGCGCGGGGGGGGGGGGCTGAGGCTGAAGTGCCGGCCGAATCCCGACTGAAGCACGTTGCGATCTTCGGCCGCGGTTGCGGCT